GCTGAGCCCGTCGCTGAGCCCGTCGCTGAGCCCGTCGCTGAGCCCGTGACTGAGAAGCAAAGCGAGGCTCAAGAGGTTGAAGAGACTACCGACGGAGCGGGGCCGGAGGCCGTCAAGGAGGATTCTACTGAGACAGCAGCAGAACCTGAGGTCAATGGCGTGGTCAGCAGCACTGGCGAGGTAGACCAATCTCTGACTGGTGAAGAGGAGGCCGCTAAGGTTGAATCCGAACCAGTAACCTCTGAGAAACCCGAGGCGGAAGAGTCTGCCCCTGTTTCTAATGGCGACTCTTCGGTTGAGAAAGACGTCGATCCTTCCGCTCAGTCTGTTCCTCCAGTTCAGAATGCCACTCCCGAGCTCACCGTGGAGACCGCCAAGGACTCAGAAGAGAAAGACTCGATTGTGACTCCTGAACTCATTGGAGCTGGTGCCGCGGCTGCCATCGCTGCTGGTGCTGTTGTTGCTGGAGTCGCTTCCAAGTCTCACAAAGAGCCTGAAGTCGTTGCTACACCTAAGGACATCGTGAACACCAAGGAACCGTCTCAGCCTAATGACGGCAAGCCGGAAACTTCTCACCTCGTACCTGCAGCCCAGACCGCCAGCAATAAGCACGCGGACTCCTCCACTTCAAAGGACATGCCCACACCCGAGCCTGAAAGTGATCCTGCTCTCGTAGCACTTGCTGGCGACCGCGAAGCTCTGCTCCGAAAGTTGGAGTTGCCTTCCACTGAACAGTTACCTGCGGAACCTACTTCGTCCACCAGCGATGACCAGGTTGTGAAGCCGGCCAGTCACGAGCGCGCTCCTGCGTCTACCGACGTCCCCTCCATCGCGACCGAGTCTTCTGCTCCTACGGAGGGCGATGCCGGCAAGGCAGTAGCCCCCAAGAATAACGAGGAGCCTCGTTCTCCCAGTCAAAATCGGTCAGTCACTGCTGTTTCCTTGAACCATAAGCGAGACAGCTGGTTGAGGACTATTTTGCGTGCCGTCTTTGGCAATTTCTTCGGCGCCATCTTCTCGCCCTTCCGCCGTCGTGGAGGGACGAACCAGTAGATGGTTGCTCGCACCGCTTGTCCGAGAAATAAATTCGCTCTACAGAGTCTCTGAACTCCAGGAGTGATCAAATAATCGCTTAATCATTGTCATTGCCAAAGCTAATGAGATTCAGGAATCTGTTCTTGATGACCGTTTTCGCTGCACCCTTGCTAGCTATTATTTGGCGTGCATATACCCGATAAGTCTGATTCTGTTGAAAAATTGATTATCGCCGCTCATTTTTACTCGACTCGATTCCCCTGTATTCGATATTTGTGAATTTCGCTCTCAATTTGTTAATATTATTTCCCTTACTCTACTCTCTAACTGTCGCAACTCTCTCACAACCTTGGAAGGCTGTCTGACTTTGGTAACATTCGATATGACTGGCCGGAAGTTTGCGGTTGATGTGATCGTCTGCCAGCATGTAATGATGTTTATGTTTGATGATTATGATGAACGAATGAAGACCTCTCGATTTTCAAAACGATGCTCCTTACTATAGAATATCCAACTGGTCTCGTGAACTGGCATTACCTTCACCATGGGCATGATTACTTTCTCCTAGACTTGGTCACTGCCCTGCCATTACCCTTAAGATGCACAAGAAGGTAGCAGCATCTGCAGTCCAGTTAGCATTTCTGTCTGTCAAGACTTTCAGACATAAGTACTCTCCTCTCACAATTAGAACTTTGTTACCTCCATCTTAGCAAGGAGCACCCCGAAACTCCTTGCCCCGTCTCTTGGTAACGATGCAGTGATATCGCCCTATCGGCCCGGACCGAACTATCAACATTCTCAATCAATGCCAGAAAAGATCACGTACACCATATAGTAGGAATCGCAATCTACACTCGCAGCGTAGCTTCGGATAATCCACGAGAGAATCAGCTCGTACTAAGCGTTGCGTATTCTGAATCCATGCCTTGCCTCTATACAGCTCAGCTACGCAGCGGCATCATTTTCGACCACAGCTTCTACTTGGGGATAGCTACATGTACTTTTAAGAAAAGAACCGGATGCACTTAAGCCTGATATCATTCTGCCTGCCAGAGAGAAAGAGACAAATGGTCAAAGAATCTGGTTACATGTTGCAATTCACGCTGAGCTCCTGAGTGACGTCTGCTCCTCAGGCGCTAGCAAGCCCCAGCACCAGGACCAGCAACACAAACAAGAAACATCACTGAGCAGATATTCAGTGAAGTTCTGTTTACTTGCTAGACGCGCGGTGCTCGCACACAAAAGTGAGATCTCAAGCGAGCCCAAACACCCTCCCAAGCATCATAGCTTACCATCGATCATCTCTCTTCATATCCATAACAACACTTCCATAATTCTTTCACCTTTGCTCTTATTCACCCATCGTGATAAGCAACAAGCTTCCGATATCACTGCTCAAGAACCCTTTGAAAAGAAACAGCCTACGGCTTCTGCTACGCTGCCATGTCTTCGCAGAGTGGAAACGCGTGGGCGCAGATGAAGGCTCACGAGCAAAAGCAGCAGCAGCAGACTGCCAACACCGGCTTCGACAAAGGTAAGCAAGCATTTCAATATCTCCTCGACAGGGGTCCACGAATGTTTCCACCTGAAGACGGAAGAACCTTGTTGCTAATAAGCTTGTTCGTCGTAGTCGTTATACCTCGTAAGGGTCCAGTCATGGGTGCCAGACCAACCACCTCGCGCAAGTCGTCGGGTCTCGATTACGACGCTGACCTGGCCCTTCCCATGCCAAAGCCACGCCACCTTCCTGTGGAAGATAATGGCGAGCCTGTCGAGGCTTGCAAGCCGGATGTCATGAGCAACCCTAACATGACTAAGAAGCGTTCCGTCACCGAGCCAGCTCGGCCTGAAGGCATTTTTGAGAATAATAAGGGGGACAAAAACAATCAGAAGGAAAAAATGAAATCCAGAGTGGCTGCGCTCAGGTCCAAGCTCAGTCTCAAAGATCTTGCAAAGGAGTTCCGCAGGGACAGCTCTAAGAACGAGCTAGAAGCGGGCAATGAAGGCGGACAGACCTCTGGCGGAGAGACTCACGACTTCAACGAAGAGAAGCTGTATGTCCCTAAGCCACGAGAGCCGGGAGTCTACCCATCGTCTGCACCACCCTTTCCGTTTAGGGACATCAGCTTTGGACAGTTTTCCCAGACGAGTGTTGAATCCTGTGCCGTCGCTAGTTCCATGACAAATGACGAGCAGCCAAACAACGAAAAGTTGAGCCTTGGGCCCTTTGCGGGTGGAAATGCCATGCAGAGCCCTGTCGAGCGAGAGTGTGAGAGGACATTGCAGCTTGATACCCTGCTACTGACTGGCTCTTCCCCCGCGGCCCGCGCAGGCGAGCTCGAAAACAGTGGACAGGGGCAGGTCATCCGAGAACAACCGAGCATTTGCAGCCTTAGAGCAGAGAACGATCTGGGCAGCCCTGCATCGACAAACATCTCGTTCTATGCGGTGGAAGATGAATTTGCGGATCCGATCTCGCTGTCCATATACGACAATGCCAGTGCCGAGATGACCCCAGACCTTCCAACCACCGACCACAGACACAGACGGGGGGGAGTTCACACAAATGGACATAGATTTCCTGTGATGCTTGCGACTGATCAGCCAAGGTATCCTGCATCTTTCAACCATGGTCATGGGGGAGTTCAGCCTACCGTGATGATAGCAGACGCATATCAACCAGCACTCGGAGAGACCCAAACCCAGCATTTCAATACTCAACCTCACGCTGCAGTTGGTCAACATCCCTTCGCTGGCGTTACAAGTCACGGAGGCTATGCTCCTCCTCCACCACATCCAGGCTACCGAAACACAGCGGACCCGGAACAGCAGCTCGCGTCTCATATCGAGGCAGTCCATGTCCATATGAACAACGTTGTTCATCGACTTTGTAGGGTACTTGAGAACTCGAACAACTGGTCAAAGGATCAGATTCTGCGGCAGACAGACGCCATGGCCGATGTTCTGCGTTTAATCAACGCCCGCACGGCAGGCCAAAATGAGACCGTGTCAGACCTACACCGCGGTATGACCAATCTGCAATGTCAGGTTGGAGCAATTGAAATTCAAATGAGGCGTATGGAAGAGAGGTTGTTGATCGGTGTCTCGAGCCAAATCAACAGACTCAGAGGAGAAATCAACGCGTCAATAACGTCGCCTCAGAAGGCGTGTGCCTCCTGCAACTCAGCACCGGATCCGAAGATCACAGGTACTGAGTTGCAGGCAGCTCAAAATACTCCCGCTGTGACCAAGGACAGTGAGAAACAACAGGATGCAAATGGACAGCGGTGTGTCAAGAAGGGTGAGATGGAAGTAAGCAGGGACCAAGACAGGAAGAAAGGAAAGGAGAAGGAAGAAAGTGAGAACGTGTCTGGGGGTGAGGCTTCTTTGGCCCAACACAATAACCAAGGACCCGCTCAAAACGTTCCGTCCACTACCGTGCCCTTCCGCAGCACACCTTTGAGAGAGAAACGCCGAGAGATCACAGAGTCTCAGGTGAAGAGAGGGGTGAGAAGAAACCCAGCTCAGGAGTCCTCAGGCTCTCCTGAGCCTAAGACACCCAAGCTTAGTCGTCAGTTTGCAGCCAACTTCGCTCCTGAGAATGGACAGATTTCGCGCATCCAGACCTCACACATTGACACCAATGAAGGTGTGAAGACCCCTCACAAGAAGGGGATGTTTGGATTCCGCCGCCGGGATGATGGTGAAAGTCATGCTAGCAGCAAGTTCTTGCACACGCCGCGTCGCAGTAAGAAGGCCAAGAATCCTCAGGGACAGAACGGCCGTTCCTCAACGCCTTCTGCTCCAGCTGCTGCAGTCGCAGCCTCACAGCCTTCAACATTCGGCGAGGAGAGCCCAAGCTCCATCCACCCAGCTTTACGCAATGACAGACAGCAGCAGATCATGCGCGACCGGGAACGCCTCAAATCTCAGCCACGTACACAGACCGGACAGGCGACCTCTGCAACCGAGAGACCTACCCCGCAGAGACGCGGATTGAAACATTTGCATTCTCACCAGACCATCGGCACCAGAACACCAACCGCAAACCGCTTGCCCGCAAACGCATTTGCTGTTACACCCTCTTCGTCTTCGCCACTCAGTATGGATATCCAGTTGCGTCCCCCTGCAGCGGCTGCACCCCCTATGCAGCCCAGTTATGTTGGCCGAACCCCGCATAATATCCCTGCTTCCCTTCAGGTTTCTGCTCCTGTGTCTGTCATTACTTCAACTCAAACAGGGACACAGGACTGGCAGCCTGCAACTTGGTACCCGGAAACGCACAGCGAAGCCTCGCCTGAGGGCAATCGGAGCAAACCTCATGCTTAGATCTCATATTCGGAGAAAACTTCGTTGAGCATTCGTCTGTTGCGTACCGATTATTGACATATGCGACTGCGTCGCTTTGGGGTTTCCTTCAATCTGAAGTTGAATTGGAATTATCGATGATGAGACCTGGAATACATTTCACTCGATGTTTGCCGAAGCTCAGCATTTCTATTTGAATTCATAACTGGAAAGCTTCCTTAGGACCTGAGTAATTTGGTCAATTTGGTTGCTGGCTTTTTACTCAATGAGGGAGTGATTGATTGGGGTCTATTCGCACTAATGATGTGAGGAGGACGGCAGATTCTTGCAGGACCGTGCGCACGTGCTCAATTTACGTAGGGGTATCACCAGTATGTCGGCAGAGAAAATACGGAAAGGACAGAACAACACAAAAAAGGTATGTGATAGTCAGCACTGGAGAAATGCACAAGAAATTTGTGAAATGATCATAAGCTCAACGTAAGACTGAAGACTGGTATTGTAATGGCAACTCAATTCCGGCCCACAATCAACTTTTCTATATCCGCTGCCGCATCTCTAACTTGAGGGCAATAGTGAAGACGCAGCAACTCGCCTTCCCATACTGTCCCGGCAAATACGTTGGTCGTCTCAACGTCAGCGGCGAAGGGGTTGAACACTCCGTCCCCTTTCCGTTCCTCGCTGTGCCACAATGGCGCGATCCGGCGCGCATGGTGCTTGGCAACTTGATTCAGAAGGGACAGTGTCGCGAGTGCAGACTTCTCAGGTACCTGGAGAGAGGTTGTCATGAGTCGTTTGGTAAAACTGCCAAGTCGGATGGTGGGTGGTGTTCCATGCGCGCGGGAAAGAAGCGTGGATTGGAGACACCGAAGGAGGAGGACAGTGGGAGTCTGGAAGTTGACTTTGCTCTTCGATCGGTGCGCTGAGCCGTTTGCTTCGTGTGAGTTTGGATCAGGCAGGCGAAGTGCCTTGGTGGGGTTGAATTCGACATCGGGGTTGACGGAGAGGGAATAAAGGGAGCGGTAGAGATGTTTGACGAAGAAGCTGAGGTCGAGGTGAAGAGATGATGCCGCTTTGCTAACGTCTTGCCCCTCCAAAAGCGCAAAGGCAGTGATGGTGCAGAGCAGAGCCTCGCGTTGAGCGTCTCGCGACGTCGACTCGCTTTCCTCCTGTGCTTCCTCTTCGTCGCCATCTTCTACCTCGGATTTGTCGGCGTGGCCGATCAAGTCCTTCAAAGCTTCCAGCAGGTCGCCGAAAAAGTCTTGGTTGATGAGGTGTGCGTATTTGGCGAGACCTTCGAGGACGGGACCCATGAGATTGGGAATGCGAAGCTTCAGGATGCGGAAGTAAGTGGCGAAGACGAGCTTCAGCGTCTCCGCCTGGTTCTTGTCTCTTTCTTCATGGGAAACTAAAGCGTCCGCCTCTTTCATGTCCTTCTCCACGGCCTTACGCTCCTTCTGCAGCTTGCGCTCTCGCTTGGTGCGGAATTCGCGCTTCTGCTTCGGTTTTTTGCCATTGAAGGTGTTCTCTTCTTCTGCTGGCGCGCGGTCTACCCTGTCCCTCGAGCCCTTTGAAGAAAATTCGGAGAGGAGGCGCAGATGGAGGAATGTGTCCAAGACACTCTCGTGTACCCTGAAATCTTTGGCTTTCATCATCTTCGACAGCAGACGAACAGCTTCCAAAGAGACTATTCCATCATTATCCTTGCCAAATACCTCTTCCATTGTTTCTCGACACTTGATGAAATCAGCATCGATCTGCCTCTTTGCGAGACGGTTCACAAGGATTTTCAGCAGCTCTGTGCGGAAGTTGAAATGCGGTACGGAAAGGAGGAGGTTGCACGCGCAATTGATCGCGATGCTCTTCAAGCCGGGATCGACGGCTGCAGTATCTTGCTTTGAGGATTTTGTAAGATCCAATAACTTCTGGACGTAGTGCTTGTATCCCGACAATAGCGATTGTTCAAAGCTCCGGAGCTTGCGCACTTCTTTCGAGACTTTCGCGGACATGTCTTCTTCGCTGAGAGGACGGATCCTGTAACCGGGAATGACATCCTTGTAGATAGCAGCCTGCGAGGCGAGGGCCAGCTTCTGTATGGCGACTTGTTGGCCGTTCTCTACCATATCAGCCATCGTCTTGAAGGAGGAAATGTGCTCTTCCGGGTCCTCGTTGATGAACGTCGCCAACCTCGCCAGCTCTTCCTTCGCTTGGACAATCTGCAACTTTAATGGAACTTTCGGAGTTTCCTCTGCAGCTTCGTCGTCATCTTCCATATCCTCGTCGTCGAAATCGGCGTCATTTTCATCACCGTCGTCGTCGGTACCGAGAAAGCTGTCCGACTCTTCCGCCTCTGGTTCAGACTCCTCAACCATTTGAAACCCCTCTGGCGTCTTAATGGGCAACCTAGTGCTCTCTTGGTCTTTCTTGCCTAGTTTGCGCGGTCGGCGCTCGTAGTCCTGTTCGAGATCCCATTCGGCAGCATTGCTGTAGAAATCGTTGAGAGAATCACGCGAGGGTCGGGAGGAAGCATCTTCCTCATCAACGGGAGGACTTAGTCGTCTCCTCTTTATCGTACGTCCAGGGGCCATACTTTCTGTGGGTGAATTGTTCGAAATCAAAGACGGCAATCGTCGAAGTTCGGAGTCGAAACTTTTTTTTTCCTTCCTTTGAATTTTCCCCGAACGCCAAGAATCTCACGCTAGAGCTCCCGCTCCACCTTGTCTAGAATTTTTGTTCCCGTGGAGCTTCAAGAAATTTTTATTCTGATCAGAGCAGAAGCAAAAATGCGTCAACTTACGGAGCAGGAGTTACAGACGCTACTTGCCAAGTTGGCAGGCTATACCGGACGGTCACTCAACAACCTCATCGTGCCTCAGTCAGATTCTGAGGACGAGCGACATGTCTTTCGTCTTCAAGGAAACCGAGTGTACTACGTGAAAAAGTCACTGGCAGATCTATCGACGAGTTTTCCTCGGGACACCCTTCTTTCTCTCGGAAATTGTATCGGCAAGTTTACCAAGACTGGAAAGTTCAGGATCCATATTACAGGTTCGTTTATTCTGTCACGCAGAGTCGAAGTGGCTTGGCTGGCTAACGAAGTGGCATGGTCAGCGCTCGATGTAATTGCCCCTCATGCGAGATACAAGGTCTGGATCAAGGACAATGGTATCATGCCTTACCTCTACGGGTCGAATGTTGTGAAAGCGCACGTCGGAAGATGGAGTGAGGATATCCCAGAGCATACAGGAGTCTTGGTGTACGACTCGAACGACACACCTTTGGTATGGATGGTCTACAACCGCAAAAGTCTTCTGGATAGGCGACTGACTTAGTTCAGGGATTCGGTGTTACTGCCCGATCCACCGCTGAGATCCGCAAGCTGGATCCCACTGCGATCGCCGTGTTTCGGCAAGCGGATGTTGGAGAGTACCTGAGAGAGGTATGTCGCTCCGTTCTTTGTCACGGACTATCTGGGATCAGTCTAAATGCTAACCTTTGTATAGGAAGATACTCTGTTTACGACGTGATAGAAGTGCTTTTACAGGCAGGATCATACATGGTGTTCGCATACTAGATATCAAGGGATTGTCGCAGGAGTTTGGAGTCTCGCATCTGTTCGGCTACAAAAGTCTTTTCGTCTCTATGTCCAATATCAACTATCATCTTCAATTCTACTTTACGCAGTATGCATTCTGCTCTCGAAACAGCCAGTGAGACGCCATGGTTCCTTGGCCTGAGAGTCTGACGATACCACACTATAGCCCTCAAAATCCATCGGACAATAGTGCTCATGATGAGGCAGCCGCGGAACCTTGCTCAATATAGATAGGTAGGCAGTGGCAATAAAAATAGTCGCGTAAGCTGTTTGCTGTTGAGAGGTCAAACACCGCCAGATATCCGAGACTGGTGATCTGCCTATATATTCCAATTTTTTTGACAGAGAAGTAGTTTGCAGAATTTCATTTTCATTCGTAAGGCGACAATTGTATAACCTCATATCGATTTCAGAATTTCGTCGGACGCATACAATATAGGAGCTGTTGGGCACGTGCCCAACAGAACATCAGTCAGCGCCTCAAATGGCGAAGATGGAACTTTCCTCGTGTGGTCCAGGCATCTCTAGTCGATCCCTTCAGTCATCTTTCTTATTGTTTCAGCTTGTTACTCAACTCTGTCGGCTGTGACCACTGCCTCGAATCTCACTAGGTACTAGCTCAACTCTCACGCTCTCCTCTCATCTGTCGGACTCCACCAGATCCCAATTCCCCTCGTCGACTATCGCCCGCCATCACCCCACCATGCCACCTTACTCTGGAGTACAGAAGCAACTGATCTCTCAGTTTGTGAACTTCACAGAAGCTAAGGACGCAGTAGCAGCAAAGGTATGTCTGCTGAATTCGGTCCATCCGATCATCGAAACCCTGCCAAAAGTTGTCACTTTAAGTTCAGATCACGTGAAATTTTACATTGTCCATCATCGCTAATTATCTTGGGCTTTACAGTTCCTAAAAGCACATAGGTGGAATGTAGAGGAAGCTATTGATGCGTAAGTATTCGAATTTGTTCCTTTGCTTTGCCTTCGTTTGTAAGGATTCCTGTTATGAGTGTATTCTTTTCTCCGTGTTCGACATCTGCTGCATGACCACCCAATCTAGAGCGGTATCTGTTGCCTGGGCGCAGATGGGTGGTACATACGAAGTGTTATTGTTCCTTTGAACGGGATCTGCTGTGTGGCCGCTGTCCTTTGGATCATACTCTTCCATCGCGTCGCGTCGCGTCCTCAACTTATCTCCGGGTATCTGGAGAATGGATACTGCGGTGCGCTCAACTGTGCATCTACAGACATTCAACTCAATGACGCTATACTGGATGGGTGGCCGAATCCCGTTCCATTCTGCTGAATGGGACGCCCTGTGGTCATTCAGCTATCCGTGGGAAGTCCATGTGTATTACTGCTACCCTTTCTTGCTCGCAGATACGTACATAGTATCTTCCTGCTCTGGCCAGCCCTATGCAGTTCTCTGGGTTGCAGCCATTTGGATCTGGAAATGAGCGATCAGGTTATGTTGGTAGTTTCAGAATGGCATGCATTCATACGCAGGTATCCACTCTACCTTGCGCTGTCAAAGCCAAGGTCCTATCATCGAGCAGCTACTTTGCCTGGCTGGAACAGCTGCTTTTGTCGTGAGCATCGAGCTTCCGAGGTGCCTTGCAATGAGCATCAGATGGACTGAGCTTAGAGGCGAGGCCTATAAATTCCTAGTATCCGGAGTCTTCAAGTGCGCTCATTGATCCAGGTTGTTTTGGCAGATGTTGGCTCTATTTTATCCGTGATTGCTTCTTTGTTTGAATCTTTTCAACGTCTGTCTCCAAGCGAAGGCTAACCGAATTGTCAGTTACTTCCAGAGTCCGCAGAGTAACGGGGGAAACACTTCTGCCCTTAATAAGATTTTCGACTCGTATCGAGGTATTTCCTTGTTGAAGATCCTGGCATCATCTCATCGCACTGCGATTTGCTAATTGAAGCTCAGATGCACCCGAAGAGAATCCTGACGGGATCGGTATTGAAAGTGCCATGAAGTTCCTGGGGGATATCCAAGTACAACTAGACGAGGTGGCATGCCTGGGAATTGCAGAGCTTCTCAAGTCGCCGTCCATGGGCGAGTTCACGAGAGAAGGCTTTGTAAACGGCTGGAGAAGCGCCGGGTAAGTGACACTTGATACTACTTAACTCCGTCCTACACTGGTCTAGTCAACTAATATGTCGATATAGATGTGACAATCTACAAAAGATGATTGCTCATGCGGCGGACATTCGAGCTCGAATCCCGGCTGAGCCAGACCTCTTCCGGCGCGTCTATCGGTACACATTTCCTCTCTGTCGTATGCAAGGCCAGCGGAATCTCCAGTTCGATATTGCCGCCGAACAGTGGAGATTGTTCTTTACGCCCGAGCATGGTGGCATCCAGTGGAACACGCCCACGACTCCCTGGTTGGACTGGTGGATTGATTACCTCGAAGAGCGTGGAAAGCGACCAGTCAACAAGGATCTGTGGGAGCAGGTTGAAGTGTTCCTGCGCAAGACGCTGGAGGATGAGAACTTTGGTTGGTGGAGTGCTGACGCCGCTTGGCCGGGAACCCTGGATGAGTTTGTGAGTTGGGTGCAGGCGAAACGGGGCAAGTCTTCGGAGGAGATGGAAGTCGAGTAATCACTGACGAAGATTATGGAGTGCATCAATCAGTCTTATTAGGCATGGCCTAATCCCTTTCTCATCAAGAGTGTGTGGCATCCTTCGTACTCCGTGAGTATGTGTGTAAATGAGCAATTCAACTTCTCTCTAGGGTCGAATGTCACTCACTACATTACTGGAGACTATAAGATATTAAAGACTGTTGGTCTATTATCTAGTAAGGGATAAGTCGGAAATCGGGCTGAAATCCAAGCAACCAGACCAAATTATAGATAGTTCAAAGCCCAAGGCATCATAAACATTCACATACAATATTTAAAAAGTCGTCGTAACAGATAACAAGAAAAGGCATATCTTCATCTCGACATCAGGGGAATCACCGGGTCGAAGAGAGATGTCACATGAGGCATGTTCAAGAAATAATTGGCATGTATCATATGCATGCAAAGCAGTCCACCAGCCACAATTCCAATATCCGAGAAATTCTACAAGTCCCGAGGTCTTGGTCTCAGTTTGTCGCGCGCTCTGTCATGGTCTGGCGAGTCATTAGATATAGTCGCAGTCTTTACCGGTAGTCGCCGCCCTTCTCATACTCGCTGCCGGGGCCACGGCGTTGGTCGTAGCGCTGCTGCTTATTAGCCGGGCTCTACTTAAAACGAGAAGATGACTGTACCTTTCTCAGAGCCTCCAGGCGCTTCTTCTTAGTGTGAGTGTTGACGTAGGTTCCGATGAAGAACCCGATAATGTTGAAGAATGGCACCCAGGTGTGCTCGGGAAGGAACTTCTGGGCGAAAGCGAGCGCCAGAGGCGAGGTGATCCAGCTGACCTTCATGACGGGCATGAAGCCGGCCTTGACGGTTGCGCGGACCTGGTGGAAGGTGCGCGCCCCGGCGATGATAGCCATCGACGTGAGGTAGACTGCGTTTTGAATGGGGGAGACCTGCAATGCGAATGCGGTTAGTATTTGCCGCGCTGAGTGACATGCACTAGCTATCTGGCGAGTGCATAGGAGATGTTTGACAAAAACGTACAATCAGGTTGCTGGCGAGGATCTGGAGGATCTTGGCCTTCAGGCTGGTGCGACCAGCAAAGACTTTCTGGAGGATGCCGACGAGCAAGTGGCCCAGAGGCGCACTGATGAACATGCCGTAGAGGGTCATCTTGGGCACCCGAGCGCTGAAGTAATGCCCATGCTTGCTGACATCGTTTGCAATCCAGGAAGCTAGGACTTCTTGAAGACCAGAAAGCAAACCGGACGTCAACATCTTCGTGCGCAGGGGATTCGACTGCAGCTGACGCAGGTAGAGCTATGCCATGTTTAAATGCCCGGTCAGCCATCTATCCGCGCAGTACTCTTCCAGAAATCGATCAGCAGCAGATCAAACATACAGCGAGGTAGCCTGTCTGAGTATCTCCCCCCGTCAACCGCTCCCCGACCTTATGCGCCAATTCCTTGGTATCATGTCGGAGTGACTTGGTGACCTCTTCCTGAAACTTGACCGACATGGTTGCTGGTGTTTATTGGGACTTGCGGGTCGGTAGACAGATCGGGTAATGGAGGCGATAAGAATAGCCGATAGCTATGCGCAGTGAGCGAGACGGTCAGTCACAGAGGCTCAGGAATGAGAACGACGGATAATTGACAATCGATACGGAACGAGCAAATATGAGGCGATGTGGGTAAGGAGGCCGCTGGGTTGGATAGAAAGAAAAATCGTGGGGTTGGACAAGAGGACGTTTAAAGAGAGCTAAAGGGAAAGGGGGCCGGCCGCTGTTTGTTTATTTGAAGAGGAGGCTGGAGAGAGAGACAGAGAGACGGTTATTGCACCAGGGAGCTTACCGAGGCAGCCTGGCCCAGACCACGACACAACAACAACTAAGATATAGAAAGAAAAGAGAACAGAGGAACCAAAATGTTTTACTTGCAGCAGCTCCGGAGAGTTATGTGCATGCAATTGATCTAGATATGGACAGACAGGATGTAATGAGGCCCAAACGCCGTTCCTGCGAAGGAGATAGATAAATAATATCGATTATTAGTTGCTTGAAGGTGGAGGGGGAAGCATCTCTGCTCACTCAGGACAGCTTCTTATTCGGCCACGCGGTCGGCAGATGGCGGGTTCATCGCTGACAGGCCAGGCAAACTTCGGGCACCTCCGACATCTGGGGAGCTTTTTCCGATATGGTGTTTCTTGGGACCCTTTGGCTGGAATTAATGGAGCTTTCTGGAGAGTAATTTTCATTTTATTCTGCCAAGGCGTTCATCACTTTGGGCTGTTGTCTTTCAATGGAGTTAGCGGTCTTTTTGCGTGCATAACGCTGTGCTATCATTTTGTCACTCTTCTAGACATGTTTTATTATGCAAAGTAGAATAAAGAGAGAAATTACAACAAGAAATGATGGAAAAAATACCACAGAGTATAGTGTGAAGACATAGTAGAATGAGGATCTAGCCAACAAGCTTCTTCTTCGGATGAGTTAGTGAACCATCTCCCTGCCTCTAAACTACAGAAACAACAGCACCTCAACCAGAATAACCATCAAGTATCATAATATCGAGAACATGAAAATAGCTTTAAGCTCTTTATAATCTAGTAGAGCTCTGTGATAATATGCTTAACCCTTCAATCATCTGTCTGGCACAGTAAGGTTATGATATAAGGATGTCCTTAATAGGAAAGCACCTACGATGAACTGACTCACTGCAATCAACATCACCATGGCATCGTTGCCGAGAACACGACATTCACATTTTTGTCTTGGAGTGAGAAAGCACACAGCACATTTTCAGCTGTCATGCCTCCCAATACCACACTTCTCTCTTCTATAGCCAACATCTCAACGCCGATGCAGAGCCATGGCGGACTATGGAGAGGGGAGCTCGAGACCTCCTCCTGGATGGCACAGCAGAGTCCCCGAAGCGCAGCCTCCTCGTATTCCATTCCCTCGAATCAACTCGTCACCAGTGCCTAGACCCGAAGACGTCCTGCCTGATATTTTTGAGCAACGACCGGACATATACCCAGGAAGTCCATGGCGAGGATGGCGTCTTCGAGCGCCTTTTGGCCCGAAACACAACCTTCCGCAATATGAGATGAACAAACAATGTTCTCATAGCATTATGGTTCGCCGGTTTGTGGACGATGGTATACTTTGTCCCAACTGCGCTCGCCAACCCTTACTCGGATGGTTGCTCCTCTGCGTCGAAGATCTCGATCGACCAAACGGTCCGGGGCTGTCCGGAGGAATCTCCAGGGCCATGATCAACGGTCATTACACCTTCAGAGAGAGAACGATCGTGAGGCAACAGAGGGCAATCGTATTGCAACATATGGAGCAAGAGTCTGGCCCGGTTGCAGCTCCGTTCTCACATATTGAAATCATTCAGGGAGTCGAGCCGGGCGTCCAGGAGGATGACAACGGCAACGACGAACTGCTCACAGAGAGCATTGAGGGTATCCGTCGGCCGAGTCAGGTAGAATCAATGTCTCGTCCGGAACAATCTTCCAGGCAGCCGCGTTCAGCTTGCCGATTCTGGTGCTGCTACCATTGTATGGATAAGATCCCTGAGCGTGCCTTCGTCCATCTTGACGGCTTTCTCAACGATCCATGTACTGTGATCGCTCTACCATGGGAGCTAGGGAACAAAAGGGTTTCCGACGCTAGGGTTGTCCGCAACTTGGACAATCACTACAAGCAGAGGGAGCATTTCTTCGGGCCGCCGACACCTTCTTATACATCATCCGAAAGCATGGGTCTCGCAAAAATGCAGCCCCAATTTGTGCGCTTTTGCGCAATTGCCTCACGGATTGATCTGCGTAGTCTTTGCGATGCGTTGGAGGCCAGACAGTTTTCAAGCGCGGGTCTTCTTGCCGAGCTCAGTGACAGCGGATCAGGACATTCCTTTTTGAGCGGCGGCTCGAGAAGCATCTTGATAGCTTATGCCGAAGAGTACGCCGTTGAACCTGCTGAAGCACGGAGCACTCATGATCATGAAAGCGACCTGGATGTCGAAGTGGGCGATGGCGATTATGGCTTGGAATCGTTATTTCGCAGTACGAGTACGACTTTGGACATTTTCGATCTCCAATGATCAAGTCAGTCAATAGCCAACCAGCTCACGGAGTGCGGAAAGCGGTCCAGCGGTGAAAGAAGACGAACGAAGGAGGGAAAAGGCAGTCTGATGCGAGAATGAAGCCAAACTCTGTTGGATAAGTCAATACACCAGCCCTTGAGGATGCTGTTGAAGCTGTTCTTAAGTACCTGGAAACTGTCTGTTAATCTTATTCATTGGCCATCATCGTATTCATTCATTTTTGGCCAATAAAATCACAATGCAAGGATACTTGAACAATCTTAATTTCCTTGACTGCTCGGGTCAAGCGAGAGCCAAAGGGAGACCTCTAGAGATACTACTCGTAGTCAGTTGACCATCTGTAATACTTCGAACGTCACGAGGCGACCTTGGTAGATCGAATGCAGAGCGAATTATAAGTATCCTGTATGCACCGTAGACTTGTGATTTTCCTTCTTGCTGAAGTTGGACGTCTTCGGTTTTATCGCACACTACCAGGTGTCCAGCTGTCTGCGCGCTCCGAATTCCGAGCCTCGGCTTCAACGCACGGAGCATAGTCCTCATCAGATGCTCCATACTAGTAATCTCCTTAAATCTCAGAACTCTGCGACGCGACTTTCTCCACAACTTTTTTGAAATATTGTTAGACAGTCAGACACCACTATGACGGACTCAGAAAAGACACTCGCTTCGTCAGAGCCTCCTGTGGCACCTGAAATTGAAGCGCCGAGTGTGGGGAAGGCCGTAAGCCCCGCGGGGATTTCACCGCCAGTGCCATCCGCTTCGGCGAAGAATGATACTCAACGCAAGCTGCTGGAAGCTCTCAAGGCGACAGACTACAATATTGAACGTCTAGACAGGTAAGTGAATGTCAATTCCAATATCCTCCGCTGTTGTCAAAGCGCGATGCGACGCATATGTGACTAACAACAAATACTCTCGG